GCGGAGCGCCTGACCATATATATATATATATATATATGTATAGTGTGTATATACGTGTATACTTGGCTGACTTCTGAACCTCTCCAAAAAGTTAAACTTTTAGTCTCCTTATTATAGTTATATAGAAACCCAAAAAGTTAGAGTCCTAAGAGTCAACCAGAAGAACACCAAGTATATGCATCTGCGGATAGAAAATTTGGCAAGTTCCGGGCCTGGCGGAGCTCCTGGTCCTTCCGGTCTTGCTCCTCCTTGGCCTCCGGGCAGGGGGACATTTTGGAGTAAACATATGAGACAAGCAGAGAAGCACAGAGATCAGAGCAGGATAGCTTTAGAGAAGGCCTTGACCCGCATCTCAACGTGCTCTGCGAAGGCCTCGTCAAGGCTGCACTCCCCCGAGCAGTCGATGCACTGCCACTGGAGCAACGACCTCGTCGCGAAGGCTTCCAGGCTCCAGTTCGTCATTGACTTGGCCCAAGAGGGCAGGCGGGCGAGAAGCCGCTTCTGCAGCGCTGGGCTCGTCTTGTCGCAGGTGCCCATGAGGTCCACAACCATCACTTTCGGAGACCAGAACCCGAGCCCCCAGGCTGCGAGCCCCACCGTTGGGATTTCATGAGTGGACAGCACGGACTGCGACAAGTTCCGCTCCCCTGTGACCTGTTTGTTAACCAGTGCGATGACCGTTCCTTGTGCCCGCTCGCGCATCCCAAGCACGAAGCTCATGCTTGCGATTGACCACATGTTTGCTGCAAGCGCATTGGTCTGGGGGTCCTTGTAGCAGGCGTCGAGGTTCCCGCTTGCCTCGATGGCTCGTCCCAAGAAGGTGGTGGGGTGCACGGTCGAGTGCTCTATTTCCTTGGCAAAGTTGGAAAGCTTCGTCATGGTCGTGCGGTTCTCGGGGTCCCCATCCCAGAAGCCGGCCCAAAGCAATGCATGATCACGAGTCTCAGTCAGCTTCACCAGCCAGCTCCTAAGAAAGGAGAGCGCTTGATATCGACGGAGCGTCTTGCCGTCCACATCCAAGGAGGCTACAGCATCTCTGGAGACGCGGAGGGTTTCCACCAGTTCGTCTCCTAAGGCGAAAATGTCGCTGACGCTCTCGGCGCAGGTCTTGTCCAGGAGGACGGGGTCGTAGTAGTCGAGAAGCCAGTCGGCTTTCGGATGCAAGGATTCGCATGCAAACATGAGGTTGTTCATCAGGAGCCCGAGCTGCTGATGGCAAGCGCCTGCGCCGGCGCGCTGCCAATCCTTCATGATGATAGCAACATGCTCCCTGAGCACGTCTTCTTGTGCTTCTGCATCGCCTGCAACCTCCTTGCTGGCCTTCGCTGTGTTGGCCTCTGCCAGCACGGTTCCGAGGAGCTCCTGCAGCTCCTCGGCGGAGCTCACCCGATGCTCCTGCCACGGCAAGGCCGGGTCGCTCTTCGACCGGAACCCGGCTGCAAGGGCGATCAGAAGGAAAGACACGAGGAGCGCCATAGCGAAAGGATTTGATATGGAACTTTGTAGATACACCAGACGGTGAGTTGCTGGAGAGCACTGCGCACGGCTTTTGCGGGACATGAGGCTGGAGTTGCCGGCGCAAACTCGGCACACCACCTAACGACGAACAGCAGTCGGAACGGATGAGACCTCCCAAGCCACCCATCCCACATAGACCTAGCACAGAAAGTCTGACTACCAAGCTGCCACAATTTCTCCGCTCGGCTGGGCGCAAAAGCCATTGCCACCCGGTGTCACTAATCTGTATGGAACGACTTTGGGGCTCTGCGGGCGTAGGATGCAGAGTCAGTGCACTTGCGGCTCTGGGGGGACCGGGCTTCGCTCACCCCGTCTGGCGAAAAATCCTGGCTGATTCATCAGCCAAGGGACCTTGACGCCGCATCAGAAACTGAGAGGCTCCCAGTTGGGAGAAGTCAACAACACCAACAAAAGCGATGGGGACAGTGAGATGGTAGATCTTGCGTTTCTGCAGTTCACTTCCGGGGAAGACATGGTTTTGATCCAACCTATCACTATTCTCAGGGAGGACTTAAGATCACAAGCCTGAAGACTTGTTGTTGTGTGCAGTGCAGCCGACTCTCTCACAATGCTGGCCTGGGCGAGCATGGAGTTGGCTGAGCGTTGCTTTAGGGTTTATAGGGCTTACAGGATTTAGGGTGTACCTGGACCCCCAAATAGCCTACCTTTTTAAGGACTTATATGTATAATAGGGAAGCTTAAAAATGCGGTTCTTATCGGGTCCAGGTAGGGTTTAGGTTTCTACATCCGGTGACGCGGTTGGTGATGGTGATGGCGATGGTGGCACGATTGTGGCTGCTGTTGCTGTTGATGCGACTCTCTTTCCAATCATGCTTTTAGTGGCGCCATGTCTATTAAAAAAACCCTAAACCCTAAACCCTAAACCGTATTGTGACAGCTCCAAGCTGCGAAACTGCTCTTCTATGGAAGCGGTTTAGAGTTTAGCGTTTAGGGTTACTGTCGAGCTCTATATTCTACTGGGCATGACTGCAACCGCGTGTATCATTCCGAATTTCGCTTCTCCGATGTTCACGGTTGGTATGTTCTATAGAGTATAACACCTCATCATAAAGCGCAATGGCTAACATATAGTATAACAAAGTATAAACTTATTATAAAACATAGTATGATACAATATAGATAATGTTTGTTTAATACAACATCATGTCACCCTATGCTAATGTATACTAATAGAAGTGCACGACAGCACCTAAGCATAAAATACTCGACACTATCAGCAATCTACATATATACAAGGCGGTGACCGTCTTATGCTTCTGTGGTAGCTTTTGGTCGCCGGGCGATGCGCATATATCTCGGGTGCCTCTCGCCCCTAAATCAAAGGTCCAATCAAGAGGATATACAAGCCAGAATAGTTAGAACCATGGTTTGGTGTAGATTTTCTAGAGGACTACGAGGGGATAGCATTGCCTTGAGCTACCAAAACGTACTTTTTTCTAGTCCCTAATTACAAGTGTGGTAGGGTTCATAAGAAGAGCGTATGAATACAAAGAGTAGGTTGTGGGTGGTTTGGGGTACTGCTTTTTCAGACCTCGAAGTCAAAGGGTCCGAACACTCGTAGGAGAGTCCGCAGCTGGGTTTCGGGTGGAGTTGAGGGTTAGAGGGGGGGGGGGGGT